TCTGTATCCAGTAAGGGAAGCTGCTATATGTTGAGGTACAACACACATGCTACGGCAAGGGGGAGCCAGGACGCCAAGTCAGGGGGGAGTCATCCTCACCCCTCCCCCCTCTAGTGTCCCAGCCCCCAGAACTTTTTGACGTCCTTTGGCCAAACGAACACTTAATCACATTGAGTTAAGACATAAGCTGTTATTGGGCACGTTGTTGTCCACGCAACTTACATTTTTTTTACTGGATCGGTAAATTGCCAAAAGAAAATGTATTTAATTACATTTTTCCTGTTTGTTAATAATAATAATTTATTTAAAAAAATAGTTAAATTAGACAGAAGACAGAAGCGGCTACTTTCTTACTTAACCCACATATGTTCACACATGTGCTTTGTGCAGAGGTGTTTTTTTCTGTTCTCAAACTGATCTCCCTGTTGGAGCTCAGTCTGGGGGGAGTTATTTTTTTTCTCCTTATCTTTCCTCGTGTTGTGCATTTTCCATTGTTATACCTCTCTGACCTGTCTTCCCCATGTGATGTTTGTGTAATGTATGTATGGTCAGAAGGGTAAGTCGGCGCTGGCAAAGGTCAATAAAGTTTTATTGAATTGAATTGCTCCTCAAAATTAACAGAGCAGGGCCAAGTTTAAAAAATTTAAACACATTACTATAGCAGCTACCGTACAGCTCAATTCAGTACTTGTTCTCTTATTTGACAGTTTAGAACACATTCTCATGTAAAAGAATTATATGGTTTTGACAGTTTGGTTGGTTTGGTGACGATTATAAATTTTGATGTATAGACTTGCAGTTTAACTGCCACTGCACTTTACTTTGTAAAGTTTTTATTTTAATTAAAAAACAACTACTTTGAGATTTATCCCATCGTCTTTTTTGCACTAAGAGGCTGTCCTCCTGCTGACAAAAAAGTAACTATGTAACTTTTACTCTGAGTACATTTTAAATGAGCTACTTTTTACTTTTACTTGAGTAATTTTTTAGACAGGTAATTTTACTTGTACTTGAGTAAAATTTCAACAAAATAATAGTACTTTTACTTGAGTAAAATATTTTAGTACTCTTTCCACCTCTGCATATTCATGACTCCCAGTATCACGCTAACAGTTTTACCATCATAAAAACATAAACAGATAAACATAAATACTGTTAAACAAAATCTCTTAGACATCAACACATCAGTACTGACCTTGCATCAGCCGCCACATTAGGACGT